ATACCAGTTTGTCCACACATTAATGTTTTTTCAATACAAGGAATTTCTATATATCCAAAAGTTTTTGTTAACATATCTAAATGTTGTCGTGTAAGAGGATGTTCAAACATTGCTGTATTCATTGCAGGTGCAACAATTAATGGTTTTCTTTTTTTTAAATCCCAAGCACGAACAACATTTGTTAAAAGATTATCACATAAACCAACTGTCATTTTAGCTAATGTATTAGCATCAAGTGGTGCAATTAAAAGTACATCAGCCCAATCACGAAGTATAATATGTAAAACAGGATCACCACGTATTTTCCATGATGACCATTCGTCATTATCTTCAAAATAACATGGAGTTTTTATTACAGCAACGGATCCATGTGGACACCAAGAATCTTCAAAATTAATAAAATGTTTAGCTCGTTCAGTTGGAATAACAATTGTATCGATATTATGAATATTAAAATTACGAACAAGTTCATTTACTTTAATAGCTGCAACACTTCCTGTCACACCAAGAAGAAGACGTCGTCGATGTTGACTCTCATTATTGCTCATCATCACTGTAATGAAACAAAATAATAGACTCGTCTAATAGAACTAGAGAAAAGTCTAAAAATAGAATTGATATTGAATTGCAAAATGATCACGTTTTAACATCTTATAGAGCTTAGTAATCGAGGGACTATCGGGATTTATTTTTTTCTAGGGGACTTATTTCTTTATTGAGGATTTATTGTGATTTATTAATATTGATGCTATCCCAGTATACTCACATCAACACCCTCACCCACACCTACATCTCACGCACACCCACACCCACACCCTCAATCGAACGACAAATTATCAAATCACATGACAATTCTATTTACTGGTTTTTTTCTTTTTATTTAACGAAAACTTTTTGTTTTTAATGATTTTAATCTTAACGAATGATTGATATCAATAGTTTATTTAATAATAAATCGTTCTTATATGAACTTTTCTTTTTAAATATTTTTTATCATAACAAACAACAACAACGGCCATGATATTGATCGAATTCATGCGATTATCGTTTACATTTTTTGGACGATAAGCCGTTGAGTTAATGTCGAATGTTTATGCTATAGAAAAAAAGATCATATACAAATTAATATAAAAATCCTTTCTAAAAATTAATTTTGACAACATACTTTTAGATACAGGAATATTAGCTGGTTGTAATGGTTCTTTGTTGGGAGCACGATGACCAGCTGCACCAACATTACCTTGACCACCAGCAGCACCACCACCTGTACCTGTTTGACGAGCTTGTTGAGGACGTCTAGAAATCAAATTAAAAAGAAAAATGAATGATCGAATTTTTAAATTTTTATCAACATTTAACTTACAAAAGTGGTTGACGTATACGACGTGCTTCTCTAGAACGATTACGTACAACTTTACTGTGAATAGCACATGAAACACAATAATGTAATTTGTAATAAAGTTTTGGTAAAATATATTTTGTGTAAACACTAGCTTCACTGATATCCTTAACAGCTGCCTGTTCGACAATGTTTCGAATAATTAATTTTTTAATAGCCTTATCTTTTGGTACTAAACGACGACAATTTGTGCAATTAACTGGACGAACACGACCACGACCATGTTTGCTTCGACCATTATTACGGCGTTTTTTTGTCATCCTTTATTTATTGATCTCTGACGATGTTTGAGAGAATAATAGAGAGCAGTATCTAAAAAAGATATGTATATGTATATATATAAATATTGATAATATTAATAATATAAAATAAAAATTTATCAAATTATAAAAAAATACTAAACATTATTAAAAGATTTTAAATCAATTGTACTTCAGTAAATAAATAAAAATCACAAAATAAATAAATTAATTGATTGCGTATTTAGAAAAAAAAACGAAGAAATCTTTAGAATCATTTAAAATATGAATAAGGGCCATGTTTAGATTTAATTAACCACATATTATCAACCACTTTTCCACCCTGAAATAAATAAATACATATTTAGTTTATTTTTGACAAACAAAACAAATAAATAGACGGACCTGATCATCGGATACTTGTTCTAAGTAAAGATGTGAAGCATTATGTACATTCATTCGTGTATAACCATAATCACTATTTTGAAATGCTGTCCATGGTCGAGGAACACCAAATGGATCATGACGTTCATTACAACCCTATAAAATTTTCTTAGATGATCTCACATTAAAACTATGCCACTTACCGCTGATCCTGTTATTATATGTACAGGAGCATCAGGATCAATATAAGCACCTTGTGTACCATTGTAAACCTACATGAATATTTTCATATACATTCTGTCATATGAGAAGTTATTTAAGTTCAATTTTGAAAATGAAAAGCACATTTCGACTCTTATTTGAATGTGGAATATCAAACAAAGTTTCTGTGTTAATGC